TTCCCTCACCTCCAATGGGCGGGCTGACCAGGTAAGGTATGGCGTGGAGGAAGTAGACAACGCCCAGAGCTGAGGACAGACACGTAGTTCCGACCACATCAGACGTCACCACTGGGATCAGAGCCACGTAGGCGCCGTCGAAGTAGCCGTAGAGCACGGCAAAGGGCACGAGGAGCGGGAAGGAACGAAGTAATGGCGTGAAGAGGCAGCAGAGACCCTCCATCCCGACCGAGAAGACATAACAGGCCAGGCGGTACGGCTTCAAACACCTGAGAGACAAACAGGACGTCCGACGGCGTCAGCACTCAAATGTCAGCCATGTTTGTGTGAACTGTCCCTTTAAAAATGTTTTTCGCCAAGCAGACAGAAAACGTTCTGCTGCAAAGTCGAGCGGGCATCCTCCACCAGGACAATGACCTGGTGGAGGATGAACCTTCACCCTAGTCTGAGGTCCAGAGCAGTGGAAGCACGTGCGCTGACGCTGAGAGTCACAGGAAGGTTAATAAACGCGCTCGCGCTCGCTGTGGGTGTTGAATGTTCCCCTCTGGAACGAGGCTGTAACGCGTGGAACAGCGTCAGTGTTCGTCCTCGTGCACACTCGCCTTACCTTCTGTCCGTCAGCCAGCCGAAGGTGATGTTCCCCACGATGTCGATGACCCCCAGGATGGACATGAGGAAGGCGGCGTGCTGGTGGCTGATGCCGGCACTCAGGGCGTAGGGCACCAGGTAAACGAAGGGGAGGCTGCAGCCGCTGGCCAGAAACAGGAAGGACACAGCCAGACCCAGAAAGTCAGGCAGCAGCAGGAAGCGGTACTCCCCACGGGACAGGAGGCGCCGCATCCTCCTCAGCCTGGGGGCGGAGCTTTCAGGTGGAGGAGGCGGAGCTAGGAGGTCCACAGACTCTCTGGGAGGTTTCTCCACGTCCTGCTGTGAGATGTCACCTGCACCAGAACGCACAGGTGAGTCTGATTGGCCCGCTGAGGGAACATGTGATTGATGAGAACCTACCACACTGCTCCTCCTGCAGCGCTATTGGTCGGAGCAGCGCTCCACAGACGCACAGGTTTGCAACGAAGGCGCTGAGGACGAGCAGCGCCCCCCTCCACGAGTACAACTCGATGAGCATCTGCACCACCGGAGCCAGCACGAAGGTCCCGATCCCGCTGCCCGACATGGCGACACCGTACGCCAGCGCCTTCCTCCGCTGGAAGTAACAGCCCACCAGGGCGATGGCGGGGGTGTAGCAGAGGGCGAAGCCCAGACCTGCGGACAGACTTTACGTGTCAGCATGATAAAGAGCACGCCGCTGTAAGATGGGGAGGACGTGTCTGAGTCTGACCTGTCAGGATCCCGGCGCTGAAGTAAAGCATCTCCAGGCTGGTGGCGAAGGAGCTGAGCAGGAGGCCGCAGGAGGCCAGAAGGCCCCCCGCCACCACCGCCGCCCGGCAGGAGTAGCGGCTCCCCACCAGGCTGCCGACGGGAGCTGCACACACAGACACGCTCAGCCTGACCACAAGAACCACTCTGTGATGTCTGATTGGCGGTACTCACCACACAGCATGGTGCTGCAGTCCAGCAGGCTGTGGGTCCAGGCGGTGGCGGCGTAGTCGGCCCCGAAGTGCGCCTGGAACTCCACGAAGAAGATGGAGACACACCTGCAGACACGAGAGGGTTAACACTGCAAAACGTTTACGCTCGGCTGCAAAAACACACCATGACTGACCCTGAAAAAGGTTTCAGTGCACTACATTACCCATCATTCTTTGCTGCTGCTCAGATTTAAATAGAACTTCTTCTTCTCTTGCAGTCAGCTGACTTTGTAAGTAAAGTTTATTTATTAAGCGCTTTTCACAGACAGGCGCTAAACACAAAGATTT